CCCACTTCTTTCTCCCTTTTACTTATCTGCTTTTGATGGTTAGCATTAGGTTATATTTGATTTAGCATACCTTATGCTATGCATGCGTGCACCATTCATTTGTCTTGCATGCATCGGGCTCGGCGCATCATACTAACTGCATTGTATTTCAATTCCAAGTTGAATACGTGTTAGCTGTAGCATCATCATATGCCATCTTAGAATAGCCAAGCTTATTTTTGTTGCATTTTTGTATGTGTTGCATTAGGCATTTCAGCATAGTAAGGATTCATGCATGTTTTCTAATCAGCTTCTTTCTTTGGCTTGGAGTACTCGGTAAGTGTTTATGCTTTAGCATCCTTGCATGCGTGTGAGTGACTGCCATGATAGCATGCTTACCATGAGACTATGTGCTTAGGTGATATATTTGCCTCAATGCCTGTGGGTGAAGGTTGGATTATCTGAGTTGGAACAATTCATTGATTGCGAGTTTTAAGCCCACTTGAGGGTGGCAAAATCTGCATTTTAGCCTACTTGCGAGTAGCAAACCGTTTTAAAAACAAACATGAGATGTTTTGTTCCAACTCAGGCGATCCAGTCTATACTTGTATGCTGTGTGCATCGCATAGTAATTCTAGGCTAATAAACCGGAAGAAGAGCACATAATGTTTTCAAAACTCGATATCATGGTTAGTAGAGGCCAATCTTTGATCGGGCGAGCGGGAGTGCTCACAAAGTGACCTTCCCCAATCGTACCCAAGTTCCCGCCGAGGCAACTTTGGTGATGACGGATATGTGGCCTTAGGCACGAGTCAGGGTTTCCTAAATTCCCCCGAAATAAAATATTTAGGTGGCGACTCTGTATCTGGCAAAGCAGTCCATGTTTGGCACTTCATTCAAAAAAATCTATTTTCAAAAACAATTTGCCGGATTTGGACTCTTTGATGATTCGTCGGTCTTGCATTGCACTCCACGAGATTAGATACAAGACCGTGACATTGAGTCCTTAACTGTAGTGAGCCCAAATGAACAGAACGGGGGGGATGTGTTCAAGGACGTCTACAGCCTCTTACGATCCCTTACTCTCACGTATTTGAGGGTCGATGCCGAGCGAGGATTCAGGAGACTCTGCCCTACCTGCGGCAGTTCTTTGACACGGTGCGGGCTACCGAGGTAATTAAGAACTCTCAGTTCTTCATGTTTTCTGCTTTGATTTATCTAGCAGATTTATGACATCTGATTGGCTCATGCACTTGTTATCCTCATATCACTTGGCGGCCCTGGGCACCCTTAGGAGGAGATATCCGTTTCCGGTTCCCGGGGGCATGGGCTTCTTCTTAGTATAGGACTTTGTTTGAGGGGCCAGTTGGCAGGGCCTGGTTTCTCGAAGATCGCTTCATGCGCCAGACGATGGGCGTCCCTGAGCAGAGTATCCCTTCAGCACCTCCAGTTGACATGCGGTCCACTGGGGATCTCACTTCCTAGGGGGTCGAGGTCGCTATGTTGGGTAACGATGCTATGTTATTCTTGGAGGAGGGGGAGTACGGGACCTACCACCATACATACTTGATGCCCCCATTGACAGGTATCCGTACTCCGACGAGGAGGGCTGCTGGTGCATCACTGTCGAGTAGAGTCCGGGCTACAGATATGCCTTCGACTAGCAGGGCCGGTACATCGAGGAGTGGGGCTAGACAGATTTCCCCGATTCCCCCGACTTACCAGCATGCTGGGTGGCCAGATCTTCCGACTGAGCTGACAGGTTGGCGGTATGGGACGTCCTACCCGATTCCACTGGAGCCCCCGTTGCCCGATCACTACATTAGAGACCCTGACTCACCACCGGTATGCTTTACAGTTTTGATTTATCACTCAAATATTTAGACATTCATCCATTTACTGATAACTTGCACTTGCATCTGCAGCCTCCCATCGAGTATTGTGACGGGTTTCTCGGAGTGGTGGCCTCACTCGAGAGCATGGTCCTGCGTAGAGAGACGCAGCTGTTCATCGCCGATGTTTCGGTACCTTTCAGTTTTCTTGTATTTATCATACTTCTGATTACATGCTGAATTTGGCCATTTCACTGCATTGGCTGACTGTATGTGTAGAGCACATCTGACACACACCATATTCATACATTGTATCTGCATATACTCACTCTATGTGGCATTCTTGTCTTTGCATCTGATATTCATGTTGGCTAATGTACTCAAATTGTCCTTTTCAGATGCCACCACTACAGGCCGGGCCATCTCGGCCTTCCCGAAGAGTCGGGAGAGGGGACTCGTGTCGTAGACGAGGCAGGCGCAGAGCACCCATCGTAGATGACGAGGAGTCTAGTAAGGAGGAGGAGACTGCCCATCCTCAGTCAGAGACTTCTGCAGGCAGGGAGGAGGATTCTGGTTCGGGTTTTGAGGGTGGAGATGATGCCGAGGAGGATTCCGAGGGCGACATCTCTGATTCGGATGGTGATGCCGACGATGGTGGCGCAGAGGCTGTTCAGCCGAAGAGGACGAAGTGGGTCTCTGAGTCTTGCGCTTGACAACACCAATGCGGATGTTCTCGCTTTATTTTCCTTTTCACTAGTAGTTGTAGCACATTAGCTTAGGCAGCAGTTTTATTTTCTTTAAAACTTGTACCTTGCTGTAAGATGTTGTAAAAAAAGAAGTTATGATGGAATGAAACGGTTTTTTGTTCAAAAAGTGTTGTATTTTGCATTTTTAGCATCGCATCGCATCATTTTGCACAAAAATGAGATTGAATGAAAATTGGGCGTTGTTTATCACCAAGTCAGGTAGTAAACTGACGCAACGAACTAAACAACTGAACTCACTAAGAAACAACAAAACCTCAGCAAGTTTACAACTCGATAAGCAAAACACGACAATATTGATTAAACAAAGAGTAACAACTCGATATACGAAACTCAACGACTTGATAAGCAACATCTTGATAAACAAAAATTTAACAACTCAATAAGCAAAACCAAACGAGGACTCAATAAACAAAGAACAACAACTCGATAAGCAAATGCATCTCGGACAATTGGAGTGATGGAACGCATCCGAAACAGAGGTAAACTCGGACCTTCAACACTCCCAATGCATGGAAAAGCTAGGATCTCTCTTCTAGAAACTAGGAACAGACCAAAGATCAAATTTCCTCCATGGCCGACCACCAGAGAAGGCTGGCCGACCAGCTTTCTGCCTAGGAGACCAATGGGGTGGTCGGCCAACCAGAAAAACTGGCTGGCCGACCAGAAAAAGTGGTCGGCTGACCACTTGACCCGGCGACCTCCAGATTTTTGACACGTGTCCTCCAAACAGTGCCTTATCCTCTTTAAAAGTTCCAGCTTCATGGTTCTCTCATTCCATCTTAGTTTTGCATCAAAATGGAGGCATTCCTCATCGAAAATCTTGGAGCTTGGATTGCTACTTTAGACGGCTCGGAAAGGTTGAACTTCCGGGGCTTCCACTTGAATGCACTATTCACGTTGAGCCGCACTCCGCTGCATCTTTCCTTTCTCCATGCCATAGCGAGGTTTTGGAATTTAGTAACTCACGTCTTTAGCTTTGGCGTGCATGAGGTGTGTCTTACCTTTGAAGATTTCCAAGCTTTGATGGAGTCCGAGCGCAACGAGGAGATCTTGCCCCAACTCCGCTTCCGCCATGCTCAAGCCTTAGGACGAATGTGTGGGCTCACTATGCATGACGCTCGGTCTTTGATCCACGACGGGGAACTGGACATCTTTAGCTTCATTCATCGGTTTTCTGACGCCGGTGACCGCGGTGACCATCACTGGCAGGGTTTCCGACGACATGTTCTTTGCTTGTGCATGTTGTATCACTTCTTTCTTGCCTCAGGCTCCGGAGGTTCTAGTGTCCGTTTGATCGAAGTTGCCCAAGGCTTGAAAGAGGGCAAGAGCTGCATTGCCCTGACATTGGCCGAGACACTGATGGGCTTGGATGCTTTCCATCGCCGGGAAACAACCAGATTTGCGAGGAGTCCACTACTGCTGCAAGTAATGTTTCCCTCCCTATCTCACATATATATTGCTCACATCACTTGGCCCTCAGGCTCGTTTTTTTTTTCACAAAACCCTTTTCTTACTTTTCTCTCAACGTACATCTCTCTATTCTTTAATCTCTCATTTTTCATCCCTCCCCAAATGTGGTTGATGGATAAGTTCCAGGTTGTGGACTCTTGCCCAGCATACTCAGCTCGCGGCTACTTCTTCCGACGTCGTCTAGTCAATGCCCTGGATGAGGGATGGTGGTTCGATTGGATGTGCAATTTGTTCGCAGGCCACATTGCTTGGCGCTGTCCTTGGCTCAATCTACTGACAATGAGCTACAGCATGTCCCGGCAGATCGGGATTCAGTTGATTGGCTTGACACACTGCGTGTTTTACTTTCCTTTCCGGTTCCAGCGCCAGTTTGGCCGTGATCAGACTTGCTCGCCAGAGGGGATGGAGTACCCTGCTGCATTCCCATTCCGAGGCGCATAGCTTGCTCGATATGCCATAGCATGGAGGATGAGAGAACTCCTGGCCCCCGCTCCCACTTTCAGTTACACTTTGTCTGATGAGTGCATAGATTGGCTCAACGAAGAGGCACAGATTGGGCCCACTTTGTCGTCAGAAGCTTCGACTAGCTCTAGGAGGGGGCGCAGGAACACCTGACTTAGTTATGCTCTGGATTTATTACTTTATCAGTACTTTCAAGTTTTCTTTATGAATGTAATAAAAAGCAACTTCAATTTGTATCCAAGAGTAGGAGAACTCTGCATTGAAATCAAAGAAATTAAAGGTTGTGGGTACTAAAAATTTTCCGCTTTGGTCCAAAAATGGTCTAAGTTGTAAAAAGATTAATTTGAGCAAAATCAACTTTTATTAAAACTTTTCAAAACCATTTTCGATATGGATCAGAACTGGACACGCCTGAGATATGTCACTGACATGCACAACCCTGGATTCCAGCAACTGGAAAGTTGCCCCTAGTTTGAATAGTGCTGCACCGAAGATCACAACCGAAGCTCTTGAGTGCTGAATAGACAAAGATGACCGAGATGATCAAATGGACAAAGTTGATCGGGGAAAAGTTTATGGCTGAACTTCATGATGAAGTTGCCTACATATCCCAAAGATGGGAATGAAGCCTAACATAGTTCAGGCTCAGGTTCACTCGTGTATTAACCCTCACCTTTTACGCTCTAACTTTTGCCTAGGCCGCCCTTTGCGGGTTTTCAACCTTGCGAGCTCAATTTTTTTTTATTTCCAATTTTCTGTGCTCTTACTTTTGCCTAGGTCGCCCTTTCGGGTTTTTGGCCTAGCGAGCCTCTCAGGGGTAATATTTCTTCAACTTGTCCATGTTGATCAGCTGTGAGAACTCTAGGCCATCTAGGTCCATAAAAACGACAGCTCTATCTGACCAGATAGACTTGATGATGTAAGGACCAATCCAATTAGGTCTGAACTTGCCCCTAGGGTCGTGGATGGGAGCTCGGTTGTCTTTGAGCACCAAATTTCCTTCTTTCAAATTCCTGGACTTAACCTTCTTGTTGAAAGTCCTGGCAATTCTTCGTTGATAACCCTGAACATGGTACAGTGCTTTCAGCCTTCTCTCATCAAACAGCATGAGTTCTTCGAATCTGCTCTGCTGCCAATCTGCTTCAGCTATCTGACACTGAGCCAGTACTCGCAATGGCGGAACCTTAATTTCAATAGGTAGAACGGCCTCCATCCCATAGACCAATGAATACGGAGTCGCCCCAGTAGAAGTTCTAATTGACGTCCGGTAGCCCCACAGAGCAAATGGCAACTTATCTGGCCAGTCCCGGTAGGTTTCCATCATCTTCTGCAAAATGTGTTTGATGTTCTTGTTGGCGGCCTCAACTGCTCCGTTGGTTTGCAGTCGATATGTGGATGACTTATGAAAAGCCACATTGTATTTTTCCAACAAATCAATCACTTCCTTCTTGAAGTGGGAACCGTTATCTGAAATAATCTCGTTTGGGACCCCGTAGCGACAGATGATGTTGTTCCGGATGAACTTTGCAACGTGCGAAGCCTTCAACACCACATAAGATTGGGCCTCGACCCCCTTCGTGAAATAGTCTATCGCAACTAAAATGAACTCATGCCCATTAGACCCCTTTGGAGTGACGGCCCCGATCACATCGATTCCCCAAACTGAAAAAGGCCATGGCGAAGTCATATTGTATAGCTTCGATGGCAGGATGTTCATGCGGTTTGCATGGATCTGACATTTGTAGCATCGCCGAACAAAGCCGATACAATCCTCCTCCATGGTGGACCAGTAGTAACCCTGTATGAGGATTTTTTGGGCTAGCATCACCCCGTTCACGTGTGCTCCGCATTCTCCTCCATGGATGGGCTCCATTAGGCGCTTCGACTCTTCAGCCACAACACACAGCTTATGCATTCCCAGATGACCTCTCTTATACTGTTTTCCTCCACAGATGATGAATTGAGCAGCCATTCTTCTGATTGCCCTTTTGTCCTTGCCATTTGCCCCTGGTGGGTATACTTCTTTCTCCAAAAAGTTCTAGACATCGTAATACCAGGGGTTCTCATCTTGAACCTCTTCTATGGAAGCAATCGATTCGTAAGCTGGCGCAAATTTCTGGTCAATGATGACCGGATGCATCCGGACTCCGAAAGGGATGTCTGTCATGGAAGATAGAATTGCTAGTGAATCTGCGAACCTGTTGTTCTCTCTTAACAGATGAGCAAAGTTTAGTTTCTCAAACCGAGGAATTAACAAGTCCAAGGTCTGGTGATACATTATCATCTTTTTTTCTTTGACTTTCCAATCTCCTTTAGCTTGAGATACAATAAGGTTCGAGTCCCCGATGACGTCCAACCATTTTGCCCCTAGTTCCAGGGCTGCTTCTAAACCAGCAATGCATGCTTCATATTCTACTTCGTTGTTTGAGACTTTGAACTGGAGTTTGAAGGCTAGAGGGATACGGGAATTGTCGGGTGCTATTAGCAACACTCCTACCCCTTACCCGTATTGGTTTGATGCTCCGTCAAAGTACATCGTCCAAGTTTCGTCTTCGATATGTAAAATGGCCTCATCTGGGAATAAGTACTCAACTGCTTCATCCACTTCCACTGGGTGATCAGCTAGGAACTCCGCTACCGCTCCCCCTTTCACTGACTTATGCGTCATGTACTTCACCTTCCACTGGATGATCGGCTAAGAACTCTGTTATTGCTCTTCCCTTGACTGACTTGCGCGTCACATATTTAAGATCGAATTCGGAAAGCAACAGCAACAAACAAGCTAGCCTAGCCGTAAGTGTCGGTTTCTCGAAGAGATATTTGATGGGATCTAATCTTGAAACCAACATTGCAGAGTGAGCTAACAGGTAATGCCGCAGCTTCCTGGTAGCCCATACCAAGCCTAAGCAAGCCTTTTCCAACGGCGTGTAGCGAGTTTCATACTCCAGCATCTTCTTGCTCAGATAGTAGATAGCCCTCTCCACCTTATCCTCTGATTCCTGCGCAAGCATGCA